CATCCTCTGCTATAAATCTCTACATTTTGCTGCATTTAATTTCTAAAAGAAAGAGTGTAAACACTTAGTGTGTTCGTAAGGCAAACAGTTAGTAGTGCTGCTATTGTTTGTGGAAGATCATTTCATCCTGGGAGATAGACGTCCGAATTCTGAAAGCACCGTGGAGAGGACGAATCTGTCTTAAGGACACAGTGTCAAACACTGGACTTGATCAGATTATAATTCGAAGAAATTAAATCAAGTAAGTTATTTAATTTATTTTCAGTGTTATTATTGTTTATTTAAATCATATTTTAATTTTTTTTTGTAACAAAATAAAATCTGTTTTTATTTATTTATTTTTATTTCGAGTTTGATTTTTGTAATCAAACAAATTCTCTCATTTCCTTTATTTCCTTATATTCTGGTCGTTGTTCAGTACACAACAGAATTTAATTTATTTAAATACAGTGAAGATTGTCCTACATCAACTTCTTCACTTCCTCTCTACCGGTTCCCATCCTAGGATTGAGAAATGAAGTTGACCCATTTTCCGGCCTGGGCAGTCCTATGAAAAATTTGGGGTTCTATCACCTTCCTTAAGCCAATTAGCCTTTTCCTTAGTCAATTTCCCTTCAAGACTGTTTAATTTTTACTTTTGTTTTTGTTCTTTTCTTAGCCTTTTCCTTCCTGATGCAGACCTTTTCGCATCCAAGTAGTTGGACCAATTGGACTGTCGAGTGGCAAAGTGATAAATTAGTGTTCAGTCCAACGTTGGTGGATTCGACCTGAAATGCCCATGTCTGATAAATGACAACACCATTCTCTCCTCTTCCTTATTGTGGGGAGAGCAAGCAACCTCGTGTTGCGTTCTTCATGGATCAGCTATCCTCGCTAGAAAGGCTTCTTTATTTTTATTGTTTGTGGATTAAAATTAGCAAATAAAAATATATTTTGTGAAAAACTAACAATAATTGAACATGAATATAATCACTCAATTTAAATAAACATCATTCAACATACAAAATACTGTTTTTTCAATCATAAAACATTACATGACAAATGTCAAAGGTATTTAAATTCAATATTGAATAGGTCATCCACATTACATGACAAATGTCAAAGGTATTTAAATTCAATATTGAATAGGTCATCCATTAAAAAATACATAAATTCTCACTATTTTGTTCAAGAAGTAATATATGGTGTTAACTTTTACCAAAATTCTGCACCAAAAATTCCATGTAACCAACATAAAATGGAAGTTGTTGATAGGAACACTTTCAAGATGAGAGGGACTACTGTCATTTTTAAAGGAGATATGCTCTCTGCCTCTCTCAAATGAATTATAGGGTTTATAATAGAAAAATAGAAGATCAAGCATCTCATGAAAAAGTTATATTAAATGCCAAATATGGCCTGTGGTATCATGTCCTTAACGTGTCTTCCAATGTGTCTAATGAAAAAATAATAATTAAAACTTTGACATTCCATGTGGTGTGTCCAACACTTGTCTTGGTGTGTTTGTGTCCGACACGTGTTGTACACAAATACAACGACATAAATTTTAAAAATAAAAAAGATATGATTTTTAAAAATCAAATAATTCGTTTTGTGATGCTATTGTGTAATGGTATCATTGGGATTTGTTATTGGGCTAATAGATTGGTGATTGTAAAAATTATAGACTCATAAACTGTTCAGACTGTTATAGCCTTGTATTTGTCGTATGGTTGGTTGTGTTTTATCGGCTTGTTATGGCACTTACATTAAACTGCTATCTTAAGATCATTTCTAGATGTCATTTTCACTTTTCCTTTTTCGTATATTTTGATTCCATTACTAGGAAATTCTATTATTAAATTATATTCATGCCTTTTGATATCAAAAAAATAAAATATAAGCTTTTAAGTCTTCAATAAAAAAGTTCTAGTGGCCATCTTGTTTATCCTTTTTATCGTAATAGGACATCTTATTAGAATCGATATGCATCACCAATAGATATTTGATAATATTTGGTTATATTGTCATATTTTGTTACAAGGATTTGTATCCTCTCCATTTTGGCAAGAAATGGAGATCTCCATTCAATGCATAAGGTTACAAGCAACATATCCTCAAAATCCAAAATCAGTGGCCTATAAATTGCCATGCCATGATGAGTTTTAAAGCCTCCCTTAATTATCTTTTAGGTTTAAAATAAAGATTTGTTGATGTGGCTTAGTTACAACCATTTATCACGAATTAGAGATCACCATACCCACCAAAATATAGAGAGGAGTGGATCCTTGATACCAATGTTTTAAAACCTAGTCCGTTGACCAAATCGAAAAGGGGACTGGGTCAAGGGTCACGGGTTGAATCGTTGGGTCAACTAGATTCGAACCGTGATGTCATAATTATCTCATAAATATATTGAAATCATATTTAAACAAAATACAAGATTCATTCAATTAAATTGTTTTTGTGTTCTAAGAATATATATTTACATAATTATATTTGACAAATATATATATTATACATATATAGTTATTTTGATTATTGGTAAAAGAGTTAATTATGCTTATGTATAAGAGAAAATGCACTAAATGGAATATATAATATATATTTACTACTTTAAATTAATGAGCTTCTGTGATGGTCTAGCGGTTAGTGTTGGGCTATTATGCATGAGGTGTATGTTTCAAGCCTCCAAAGAGTGATTTTTGCAATGCTTGGAACATGTGTCTTGCATTCGGTGGTCTGTCAGGCTTGACCAATTTCTTGAACCGGTTCAACTACTGGCTATGAAGCACCGACACGTCCCCAGGGCCTGCGTACGAGTGTTGGACACGTGTCGGACATGCGGTGGACACGTGTCCGACACTCTCTCTAACGTGTCCTCTTTTTTTTTTTTGAATTTTTGCAGTCGGAGATGCCATGGACACGCTGTGACACTTTCCGGACACGCTTGAGGTGGATCGAAGCCCTAACTGAAAGAGAGAGAGATCGAGGGAGAAGAGGAGACAGAGAAAGAGATCAAGGGAGGAGAGAAGACAGAGATAGAGGGAGGAGATGAGAGGAGACAGACAGAGACAGAGAAAGAGACAGAGAAAGAGATAGGGGGAGGAGAAGAGACGAGCCTAACCTGTTCAGATCAATGAAGAAGCTGAGGTATTTGTCTGCTCTCTTCTTCTTTGCCTCGTCCTCTTTGTCTTCTGTCTCCATCTTCTTCTCCTTCTTCTCCTCCCTCTTCTTCGGCTTCTCCTGTTATCTCTCTCTCTGATTTCACTTCCCTCTTTTGCTGATTCACTTTCCCCTCTTTTTTTATTTCACCCGTTTCTCTCTCTCTCTCTCTCTCTCCTCTTTTATTTCCTTCACTCTTTTTTTTTTCTTTTTTCTTTTTTTTTATCTTTATTTTGTTAAACCTAAAATTCATAAAATAAATTATTTTTATTTAAAAACACTCATTTTTTATTAATTTTTTTAAAAAATATGTTTATTAATTTTATTATTATTGTAATTGTATAAAAATTAATGATTTTTTATTTTATTTTAGACATATAATAAATAAAAAAATTATATATATTAAACGTGTTCCCAACGTGTCGTGTCCCCCATTTTTTTTAAATTTGCGTATCCCCGTGTCCGTGTCGTGTCCCGTGTCCGTGTGCGTACTTCATTGACTACTGGTTTCATTGTTTTAACAAAAATAAGCAGGTTTTCAAACTAAAGCGGGTTTAAGGGTTCATCCAGACTAGAGCCTAGACCGGTCGACGTGTCAACCGACTGGTCCAGTTTTTAAAAATTTCCTGATACAATCCTACTCATGGAAAGTTTTTTTTCCCCTTACAATTGATAGGAGGGGAATAGAACAAGGGAAGCTAAACTCGTAGTGGTAAGACTTGAATGCAGGTAGCATGCCTGGTAAAGGAGTGCCTCTTCCATGATCCACTTGTGAAGTGAAGTCCCATATTGCTTGGCTACTAAAGTAATGTTAAGCATATAAGTGTGAGGGCACCCTCACCTCAAGAGCTAGCTTTAGGGTTGAGTTCTACACAATACCATGTAGCATGGTATCAGAGCCGAAGTACCAAGGATGGGTAGGGTGCGTGTCCGTAGCCTACATGCTGCAGGTGCCGCTGAGTGAGCACGTTGAGTGTGAGGGAGGGTGTGAAGTCCCACATCGTTTGGCTACTAAAGTATTGTTAATCATATAAGCGTGAGGGCACCCTCACTTCAAGGGCTAGCTTTTGGGGTTAAGTTCTATCCAAGACCATATAACACCACCATGCCAAGCCCTTGGTCACGGAAAGTTTGAAGAGGCCAACAATAGAAAGTATTTCTTACTATTTGTAATCGTAGTCCAAAGTTTTGTTAATTGCCAAGTATGTCCTTTTTGCATATTTTTGTTAGACATTCACATATAGAGAGTAGCTTCCAAAGAAAGCTTATTTTATTGAAATGAATATATTGTCTTGTCAGGGATAGTATTTATTTTGGTGGGGATGTTATCTCCATTAAAAATTTCAAGAACACTTGTGCCTAATGTGGATTGTGTAGCAAAAACAAACCTGCAGGTAGATTTAGGAGGGAGTTGATATGGTTCCCTTGAATTAATTAAACTGCAGGGCATTTTTGTCTTTCAACTTATCTTTAATGCTGAAGCCCATCAAACTTTTGCAAGCTGTTTGGGTATAGTGTGCATATGTTCTCTAGTGGTATCCACATGTTCTGTACAGTATGCATATGTTTGGTTATATATATATATTTATCATCTTAAAAACAAATTATTTATAAACTGAAGTATATTGCTACTCTCATCAATAACTTGAGTGTAGAGAAAAAAAGAGAGAGATGTTCTTAATTAGGCACTTTAAAGTTGTGTTGTTTGAAATGCCATTCATTTTGGATTGAAGGGGAATGCTGATGTGTTAATCCATTGAAATGCCATTCACTTTAAAATTGTGTTGTTTGTTAACATTTTTATGTTCTGCTCCAGTTTTGTGTAAATTCCTTATCTAATTCATTTGTGGTTTTAGGATGAAGAAAGACTCCGAGGAATTTATGCTAAAGAGCAGAAAAAGTTAAAGAAATTAGATGATAGAGGTGTGGAGTCCGGCAAGATTGATGCTACTTACAATTCAATTAAAAAGTTGCTCCTGAAAATTAAGGTTGCTGTCTCAACGGTTGATGCAATATCAAAAAGGATAAACAAGTTAAGAGATGAAGAGTTGCGGCCCCGACTGAATGAATTGATTCTCAGGTATGTAAAGTGTGAATTTTGTAGTTATGTTTGCCTTGGTATTCTGTATTGTCGATGATGCCAGACGGCCGGCAAAAGAAAAAGATAGAAAGGCCACACCAAAAGAAAATTAAAAAAACCCAAAATTCTTTGTTCTCAATATTGAAAACTCACTCAATTCAATATCAGTCTTCTAAACCTGTTACACAATGGTTTACTTATAGGCATCCAAAACATCCTAATTTAAAAGTTACCAAAAATAAAACAATACAATATTTAAATCTTGTTTATATTCTAATATGGATATGATTCCTACAAAATCTCAAAATTCTTCAATTCTTTCCTCACCTTTTCCTTCCTCGTCAGTCCATTAGTTAAATTGGCATTATGTGATGTTCTGTGTTGTTGTTGTTGTGTGTGCAAATATAGACAATTTCAGCCTTTAGTTAGTTTGGTTGTCCTTGTTACTAATGGAGGAAATATTTAATGAAAGTACAATAAAAACATTGACAAGTCTGGAAATTCTCTTGTAAGAGGAATCTAGAAGAACACAATGTTTGAATACAGAAAACAGTATTCTATGAATAGAAAAATTACAGGGTGTGCTAGGAGGTGTTGAATGTGTTGAGTTTGGCACCCAAAAAATGCAAGTTTTTATTAATGACGCTCAAGTACAGAAGACACTTGTACACTAGTACACAACCATACACTTGATGACTTCTCACGGTTGTGCACATGTAAGGATACATAACAAGTATATAGGACAAACTATAACACGAGACCAAGAAGTGACTAACACACTACTTATTTCCTTACATGGCCATGGGGCGGGTTCGGGGCGGGTTTGTCATACCCCGCCCCCTCCCCCGCTACGGGTGGAATTTTTCAACCCCATCCCCTCCCGCGCAGATACACAATACCCGTGGATATCTGACCACATTTTGGATAGTCAAAAAAATTGAGAACCATTTAAATCCTTAACACACTAAATAATTTCTCTTGTTTCCATATATATAAACAGTGAGACTTTTAGGATTATTATTTATTTATATTTAAATAAAACCACAGACTTTTAATATTCCTTTCTTTTATCTAATTATATTATATATACATATATATTATTTATTTGTATATATATTATTAATTATATCAGGTCGAGTTTAGATCAGGGGAGGCGATACTTATCCCTGCTCCACTCCCGTTGTGAGTGACCAAAATATAATCTACCCCCCGCCCACATAGGGTTGAGCAAAATCTGCCCCATTCTGGGGCGGGTTTGGGCTGGCCCCCGCGGATCGGATTAAAATGGCCATCCTTTTATACTCAAGTACTTACATCACATATGCACACCATCTTGCTGGACACTTAATTTACATTACTTACACCACACTATTAACTAGACATAAGATTGAGCCCTGACTTGCTCACTCACACACTTTCTTAGTTTTCACAAATTTTGTTTGACTCACACACATATATTCATAAGGAGGGGTGCTCGCGGATTGGGTTGGGTCGGGTTGGGTCGGGTGGCTTCCCATCCGCCATCCATTTGAATTTAGGCAGATTGAACAAAATAATCCACATCCATCCACTTACTTAGCGGATGCGGATTTAGCAGAATGTGCGGGTTGGCGGTGGATGCGGATTGATCTGGTGGCTTTGGCTTCACTCTTTTCTACTTTATTTTGAACTATTTTAGAGTAATTTTTTACTATTTTGGGCCTTATTCAAGTCCATGATTTTTTATTCTTCATTTTTTATAATTAAAATAAAAGGCCAAACTTTTATATTTCATAAGTAACTAATATTATTATTAAATAATGTCATTTTTTTACCACTTGAATCGGTGAACAACCGAACCATGTCATTTTTTTCACATACAAAGCATAAAAACATAACATTTTTTTCTTTAGGGGGGTTGGTGGATCAGATCGGGTCAGGTGACCTCTCATCTGCTGTCCATCCGAACATAGGCGGATTTTAAAAATCTCCATTTTCATTTGTTTTCCCATACTATTGAAACCGCTTAAAAATGGGTGGATTAGGTTGGGTTGGTTAGATTTACTGGATCGGTTGGGTCCGTGAGCACCTCTAAGGAGGACCCATCCCTACATATAGATGCTCTCCACTGACCTATACAATCGGTTTCTCACTGACTTGAAGATGCTGGAAATCTCCATCAATGGCGGTAGCCCGAGCTTCAAAAACTTAGAAAATTCTAGAAGAAAGAGAAAGAAGCTAGAGAGAGAAAGGGAGAGAAGATTCTAGAGAGAGGAACAGAGTTAGTGGTTAGTGTTGTAACAGAATGTTGATGCAGTCCATATGAGTCTCAAGAAAGAATAAGCTCAAAAAAGCAACATTATCATAATCGATACACTTTTCTAAGATGGCCCACTTGAGACCTCTCACTCTCATACCTGTGTGTGTGTGTGTGTTTTAAGTTTGGCTATGTTTATGGTTTCTTCAAGTTCTTATGCTGCAGGTTTAGTGTTTATTTATATCATCTTAAGTTTTTGAGCCAAGGACATCCCCCCCTCCCCAGATCGACATGGGCTGGATTTACAGTCCATGGATCACAATTTAGGTAAAATTGTGTCATTGGGTATTTATATATGATTTCAGCCAGTTTACATCATTTTATAAGTCAAAGTCTGTTTATAATTTTGAGTCATAGAATCACGTGAACAGTTAGGAGTCCTTGGAAGTTTGTAGCAAGGTAATTTTCTAGATTTACAATAGAAATAGGAGTCCTTGGAAGTTTGTAGCAAGGTAATTTTCTAGATTTACAATAGAAAACAGGTTATGAGATTGTTGGCATTGTGTGATACAATTCAAACACTAGCTATGGCGCTTAAATAACCCTAGCAGTGATTCCTAAATTTTCCTCTACTTTCTTCTTGTTTTGTTTAATCGTTGGCTCTTTATAAGGTTCAAAACTCCTTGATACCTCTGGTTTTTTTTCTCTTCTGACATCAATAGTCCTCTCTCAGATGGCCTAACTCCCTTTCCTTCTTCAATCATTCAACTATATCTCTCCAAAACTGGTTCAGTCAAAGTTACTGTTTCACTGGTATCGTTCATAGCAGGAACAAAGTTTATTTCTTTCTCTGCTTTCTTGAACCCCCAAACACATCAATTTCTTGCACCTTTATAAACCCTTAGATTAGCAAGATGGAATTTTATTTTTCTTTGCTTAATTACGTCCAAACACTTTTTTAGACCTTTGTTGTCTCACATGATTGTGTGGTAAGGTTCACATCATAGATTCATAACGCCCAAAAATATGCCATACTATCTCACATGATAATGTTAGGTGGGAGGATATTTTTCAAAGTTTTTTTAGTTGATAACACATCTATTGTGTTATTATGTATATTGTTTATGCCCTCTTTCATTGTTAATGTCTTCTAATCATCAGTTTATACCTGAAGAGTCAAATTTGTAGTGTTAAAATTTTCCATCACACCCCTTTCTTCTTGAGAAGTTGGTGTCTATGTGGAATCAGAGTGATAACCTAAGCCTAGCTTGTAGTTTTTTTTTTTTCCCTCCTTTTTTCTACTATTTTGTTTCCTTTCCATCCTTTTTCTTTCTATCAACCTGAATGATGCAGAATATGCTGTGCTAAACTCAGATTGTTTATCACAGTGCACCAGCTGGTCTGTATGGACATCATGTGAGCCCATCAATGTGTTTGGCTTCATTGTAATGGCATGTATCTCTAGTTGAATGAGTTGTGAGTTTTGAAGTCTTTTAATAAACCAAAACCTAATGTTCAGTTATCAGGTTTGACGTGGTTACGTTGACAGTCTGTTCTGGGTTGCTTAGACTAATTCTAGATATTGCATTTGAGTCCTCTGATGTTTATGTTTGATTCCTAATTGCTAGTTGTTGATAGATGAGTTTTTTTTAATGCATTTTCGATGGTTCTTGTATGCTTTTTCTATGGTGGTTGTGCTTTTCTTTACGTATTTTGTTCTGGACAGCAGCTTTAAGGAGTTATTTTGTCATTGATGAGGTATTTTGGTGTTGTAAGAGTATTGATTTCGTGGATGTCTTGCTGATTTGTTGGTCGATGTTCATGTATGGTTGAATTACCTTTGAATAGCATATTGCATGGTTGTCGGATTGTGTTAGTGGCTGGATTTACTTGTAATTTTGCTGAAGTTAGATGCTTCTTACTACAGTCCGGTTGAGTGGGCTAACATTTGGTTGTTGGCTCAAGCTTCCAGAGTGGCTTTAGGTGTAAAAAACAAAGTGAAGCTCGCCTTGTCTAACCCTGACTTATGGAGGATTAGGGTTTCAATGACATAATATAACTCCTTAGTCACAACATTGTTGTGGAAGAACAAATAACCATGATTGCCACTTGATGATTTTGAACATGGCTATGAGTTTTGTGATATATGTAGTCATCGTTTCTAATGTAGATTGATGTCTTACTAGTCTTTTGAGTTAAAAATAAATAAATAAGGTACCTCGAGTATTCGGGTACCTCGAGTTTCTTCTAAGGTGGTTTTCTTTTTATGGACGGCTGCCTTAGGCCGAAATCTTACAATTGATTATCTGGTTCCTCGAGGGCATGTGCTAGTAAACCACTGTTGTTTGTGTTGTGTTGATGCGGAGTCAGTTGATCATTTATTTCTCCATTGTTCTGTTGCTTCGCGACTTTGGGGGCTGGCTTGTTCTCTTTTTGGGATTATGTGGGTGCAGCCAAAGGGGGTTGTGGACATGTTGTGGAGTTGGAGGGGGGCTCGGGTTGGGTGGCATCGGCGACAGGTGTGGTCGTTGGTGCCTTTTTGTTTGATGTGGTTGGTTTGGCTGGAAAGGAGCAAGAGAATTTTCCAAGGAATTGAGCATTCAGTGTGGTGGTTGGAGGACCAGTTCTTAGTTACTTTGTATAGTTGGTTGGCATGTAAAGTTGATCCGGATTTGTTTACTTTCTTAGATTTTTTGGATGATGCAATTGGTTAGGCGACTTTTGTTTTTCTCTTTTGGCTATTGTTTTCTTTGCATCATCTTGATGCTTTTTTAATAAATTTTATTATTTATCAAAAATAAATAAATAAATAAATAAGGTACATGTTTACACCCAGTTTAGTCCCCGTTTGATGGGGGTCTATATGAGAATATTTTCTTGCACCTTTTAGGAGAAGAATGTTAGTGAGCATAACAAATAGAGTCGAAGTTATGTTTGATGAGCCATATTAGTGTCATCTTTTGACTATGGTGTTAATATTTAGAAGAAAATGTTAGATGTGTATTATATTCTGTAGTTGGCTGAAAATAATGATGGTAAAAATAAACAAGAAATAAAAAACATAGCACAAACAGGCCCAACTCTCTTTATTGGATATGGTACCCAAGCTAACCCCCACTAAGAACACTTTTATTGTGTTTGTATTTAGATTGTGGAGGGATTTATGAGTGTTAAATCTTCACCCGTCTTGACATGAGTAGGCTTACCCTGAAGGAAGTCCCGCACATCAAATACCACTTGAAGACATGCTTGTCCAAACTTGCACGTCCATATGGCTAATCAATTGCTTCATTGCACCAAGCTCGTATATGAGCAAGGCGCTCGGCCCACTGAAGGGTCCAATGTTGCCAAGGCGCCTCTTGCCGTACAACCGTACGCCTTAATGTCCTTCGGAGGAGTTGCTCACAGCTAAGCTACCTGATGTTGCCTAACTATGTGCTAGCGTAGGCCCCTAACCTAGCCATCAAGTTTCCATTGCATGTTGGGGCCATGTTGCACTTCTCGAATAGCCACGAGGCCCTCCTTTACCCTGCACAACATTGAGGTCAATTGTACTCCTACAACACACTCCTCGTGCATGCTTGTATGCTATTGGCCACTAAGGGCCATTGTGCGCCCAAAGGCACTGAACAAGTAGGCAATGTTAGTCCCTAGCCCACCAATAGCATTAAACCTTCCTACTAGCCAAGCACAAAGAGCCCAAGGTGATGGTAGAGCTGCATGCCTTCCAAAGATTCCCATGAGTAGCAGTGTTGCCCTCGAGCTGCTTGCCTTTGGCCACAGGATGCCCAAGAGCATGGCCGAACCCAAGTGCATGTCCATGAATTGGCACAAGAGGCTTTGGTGGCACCTCGATTGCCCATTCAGTTTAGGACAACACCCTAAGATAGTAGAACACGAGGCATTAACAGATGTGTGTCCCAAACCTCAAACCTAGGAGGATTGTGCAGTGCCCACACTCATGCCCCTTGATGACACTATCCATGGGGCTCCCAAACCCACATGGAGACCTTTGACACCCCTTGTGGATGCCAAAGGCCTGAACCCAAGGTTCCTCGGGGTGGCCCACTTCAAGCCCAATTTGGGTGGGGAGACAAGTAATAGCACAAGCACACCATACCCCCTTATAATAGAATTATGAGCCATTTGTTGATTGCCAAGAGGAAGCATTGTTTGAGGAGTCAATGATTTTTCAAAAATTTCACAATTCTCGAAAAGTTCCAATGTTCAAGAACGGGCATGAACATAAAACAAAAAGACAACCAAACTCAAGAATCTTCAGAAAAAAGAATGGCATTGTGCCCCATAGAGTTAGTCATATAAGGTTACGACTTTTCTCCCCACAATAAAAATCTCTCTTTAGCCATCAAAAGCTAAAAGGGGTAAAATTAAATTATATATAAAAAGTAATAATAATAAGAAAACCTGCTCTGTATCTGAAATGTTGTCAATTTTCTCCAAGTTCCATATTTATAAGTATGATTCATATTTTTAAATAACATTCAAACTGCATATTGGTTCTAGCATAGAGATAAAGTTCTTCCTCAAAAGGGTACCACTTATTACAATCCGAATAAGAGTTCTCTCTCTCTCTCTCTCTCTCAAAACTCAATCTGTTCCTCCTTCCCCACCTGGAAACCTGCCTTGCTCAAAAAAGCCTTCAACATCTCCACACTAAAGCCATCCAAAGCCTCGAAAACCTGCACGAAAGCCTGCACGAAAGCCTGCACCAACTTCCAGGTGCCTCACTTTTTCTTCACCCAATCTGTTCCTCATCGGCTTCAAATCAACATGAAGTCCATCCAGAATCAGAATTCTGCTTTCAGTAGTAACCTCTGCGGCAGCTGCATTGTTTGACAATACATATTGCTCCCAATCCATCCCACTTTCCTCATAAAGCATTCTGACTCGTTTCTCACGATCCTTTGCCCGATATTCCACTTTGAGCCTCTGACGCCTTTCCGCATCTAGCTTCTTCCCCAACTGGTTCAGCATGGAAGCAAAGTCATGCATTGCTTTGGATACTCCAGCACCTGAAACGTTCTCAATTGCATTGTACCAATCATTACAAGTGATAAAGATTGGTGGAGCCCCGAGCCTTGTAGGAGAGAAGGGCACAATTCCATCTGGAGTTTCTTCTGGTTCTTTGAGCAGGCTCCTCATAAGACACCTGTTTAAGAATTTGACAAATGATTTTTGGGTGTTAATCCAACAGGCAAAGGCTGTAGCCCAATTCAGAATATCTGTTTCCAATTTTCGTATAGCTATGATGCTTGAGTTTCTCTCAATAGCGGCTTGTGCATTTGCAATTGAGTTTTGGCTTCCAACATAGCCAGGAATTGCTTCCGATAACAATCAACCATGGACGTCCACATTCCTGTCAAACTGTAAATAAACTCGTCAAAAGTGAGGTAAAATAAGAAGAATCGTATAGACAATAAAAAAAAGAAAAAGAAAAAGAAAAAGAAAAAGGATGGAGTTCTGAAGTACAATAGTAAAGACAATCACTATATTTAGTGTTTAACTGTGTTGCCAATGTGCAACCATAAGACAGTGGACTTATAAACAAAATATAATTTTCTGCCTTTCTTTTTTTATGTGAAAATTAAACTTTTGCATGATGTGAAATCCCATTTGGAGATGTAAAGGATGGAGTTCTGAAGTACAAGCCCATAAATAAAAAAATTGGCATTGCTGTTTCATAGGCTCTTTAATTCTCTGTGCTACCTGGCCAGTAATATATTGGGGCCCTAAAAGAAGATTCATGTTACCAGTATAGCATAAAATGAACTTTGCAGGAAGATATATACAATATGGTGGTTATAGAAATAGTCACAAGATGATTCTGACACCATTTTTAGCATTCATTTCACCATTCTAGCATTAAATTGTCTACTGGGCCAAGCGGCCATACTTGTGCGTTGTACATAATTCTGAAAAATGAAATGAGCACCAAAATCTACATATGGTTTATTTTTGCAGCTGTGAACTTCTCTTCAACAAGTTTACCAACTTTTTATATTAACCATCATACCTATCTTTGTTTTGCGTACACAGTGATCAGTTGATGGTGTGTAGATAGTTGATTGAAATTTTCTCGTCCTTTGCTTTTGATTTGCCAATGACACAATTCCAGACCTCTATTCTTTTTTTGTTTTTATTGTTATTTTTTATTGTCTTTATAATTCTTCTTATTTTACCTCACTTTTGACGAGTTTATTTGCAGTTTGACAGGAATGTGGACGTTCATGGTTGATTGTCATCGGAAGCAATTCCTGGCTATGTTGGAAGGCAAAACTCAATTGCAAATCGCACAAGCAGCTATTGAGAGAAACTCAAGCGTCATGGCTGTACGAAAGCTGGAAACAGATATTCTGAATTGGGCTACAGCTTTCACCTATTGGATTAGCACCCAAAAATCATTTGTCAAATTCTTAAATGGGTGTCTTATGAAGTGCCTGCTCAAAGAACCAGAAGAGACGCCAGATGGAATTGCGCCCTTCTCTCCTACAAGGCTCGGGGCTCCACCAATCTTTATCACTTGTAATGATTGGTACAATGCAATTGAGAACGTTTCAGGTGCTGGAGTATCCAAAGCAATGCATGAATTTGCTTCCATGCTGAACCAGTTGGGGAAGAAGTTAGACGAGGAAAAGCGTCAGAGGCTCAAAGTGGAATATCTAGCAAAGGATCTCGAGAAACGAGTCAAAACGCTTTACGAGGAAAGCAGGATGAATTGGGAGCAATATGTATTGTCAAACAATGCAGCTGCCGCAGAGGTTACTACTGAAAGCGGAATTCTGATTCCGGATGGACTTCATGTTGATTTGAAGCCGATGAAGAACAGATTGGATGACGAAAGAGCGAGGCGCACGGAAGCGATTATGCAAGCGAATGATATTGCTTCGCAAGGCTTTCGTGCAGGTTTGGTGCGGGTTTTTGAGGCTTTGGATGGCTTCAGTGGCGAGATGTTGAAGGCTTTGGAGCAAGTCAGGTTTCCAAAAGGGGAAGGAGGAACAGAGTGAGTTTTGAGAGAGAGCTCTTTTTTTTTTTTTTGAGAAATAGAGAACTCTTATTTGGATTGTAATAAGTGGTACCATTTTGACGAAGAACTTTATCTCTCTGCTAGAACCAATGCGCAGTTTAAATGTTATTTAAAAATACGAATTGTACTTATAAATATGGAACTTGGAGAAAATAGACAATATTTAAGACACAGTTATTTTTTTTTTTTTTTTGAGAAATAGAGAACTCTTATTTGGATTGTAATAAGTGGTACCATTTTGACGAAGAACTTCATCTCTCTGCCAGAACCAATGCGCAGTTTAAATGTTATTTAAAAATACGAATTGTACTTATAAATATGGAACTTGGAGAAAATAGACAATATTTAAGACACAGTTATTTATTTTTTATAATTTAATTTTGCCCCTTTCATCTTTTGATGGCTAAAGAGAGATTTTGCCCCTTCTTTCTTTCTTTCTTTCTCTCTTTCTTTCTTCTTTATATATATAGTATCATCTAAACAAAAGGTTAAGGGTTCAAGTGCTGGTAGAGAGTTGTTCAAAAAAAAAAAAGAGAGATTTTTATTGTGTAGCAACATGATGATTCTGACTAACATTTTTAGCATTCATTTCACCCTTCCAGCATTGAATTGTCTACTGGGCCAAGCGGCCATACTTGTGCATTGTACATAATTCTAAAAAATGAAATTAGCACCAAAATCTACATGTGATTTATTTTTACCAACTTTTTATATTAACCATCATATCTATCTTTGTTCTGCATACACAGTGCTCAGTTGGTGGTGTGTAGATAGTTGATTGAAATTTTCTCCTGTCCTCTTCTTTTGATTTGCCGATGACACGAGTCTAGACCTTTATGTAAGAATTTTGTTTCTTTCTTTTATTTATTTATTATTTATATTTTTCATTGTCTTTACGATTCTTCTTATTTTACTTCACTTTTGACGAGTTTATTACAGTTTGACAGGAATGTGGACGTTCATGGTTGATTGTCATCGGAAGCAATTCTAGCTATGTTGGAAGCCAAAGCTCAATTCCAAGCTATTGAAAGAAACTCAAGCATCATGGCTATACGAAAGCTGGAAACAGATATTCTGAATTGGGTTACAGCCTTCACCTATTGGATTAGCACTCAAAAATCATTTGTCAAATTCTTAAACGAGTGTCTTATGAAGTGCCTGCTCAAAGAATCAGAAGAGATGCCAGATGGACTTGCGCCCTTCTCTCCGACAAGCCTTGGGCTCCACCAATCTTTATCACGTGTAACGATTGGAACAATGCAATTGAGAATGTTTCAGAAGCGGGAGTATCCAATGCAATGCATGACTTTGCTTCCATGCTGAACCAGTTGAGGAAGAAGCTAGACGAGGAAAAGTGTCAGAGGCTCAAAGTGGAATACTCGGCAAAGGATCTTGAGAAACGAGTCAAAACACTTTACGAGGAAAGTGGGACGGGTTGGGAGCAATATGTATTGCCAAACAATGCAGCTGCCACAGAGGTTACTACTGAAAGCGGAATTCTGATTCCGGATGGGCTTCATGTTGATTTGAAGCCGATGAGGAACAGATTGAATGAAGAAAAAGCGAGGCATGTGGAAGCGATTATGCAAGTGGATGGTATTGCTTCGCAAGGCTTTCGTGCAGGTTCGGCAGGTTTTTGAGGCTTTGGATGGCTTCAGTGTGGAGATGCTGAAGGCTTTTGAGCGAGTCAGGTTTCCAAGTAGGGAAGGAGGAACAGAATGAGTTTTGAGAGAGGGAGAGAGAGAGGGGGAGAGAGAGAGAGATAACTTTTTTTTTTTTGAACTAAAGAGCGAACTCATATTTGGGTTGTAATAAGTGGTCCTCGTTTGAGGAAGAACTTTTTCTCTATGTTAGAACAAAATATGCAGTTTGAATGTTATTTAAAAATTTGAATAGTACTTATATATATGGAACTTGGAGAAAATAGACAATATTTAAGATACATAGCATGCTTTTTTATTATTTATTATTTAATTTTTATAATTTAATTTTGTCGCTTTTATCTTTTGATGGCTAAAGAGAGATTTTTATTGTGTGGAGAAAAGTCTTATACATTAGATGATTAACTCTATGGGGCACAATCCCATTCTTTTTCTGAATATTTTTTTGTTTTGATATGTTTTTGCTTTATGTTTTGTACATTCATTTTCAGAAAAATACATAAAACTCACTTGGGAATTGTTTCCAAAAACAGTTTTTTGGAAATTTTGTGAAAAATCCATTTTTTAGGAAACAATAAAGAGTTGCCTTTGAATTTTTGTATAAAATAAAAAATGACGTGTGTTTTTGAACTTTTTATTGTTTTACTTCCGAAAGCACACAAAGAAAAAGGAAAAAAAAAAATTAAAACATAACCAAACATACCTACAATTTGTGCAAAAAAACTAAATTGAATATGAAAAAGAAACTAAATTTGATTGAATCTGATAGGTCCATGGTCTTGTTATCATGGATGAACTTGGTGCAAAACAAATACCTGTTTGGTTGAGTTTTCAAAATCAGTTTTTCTTCTAAAATTTTGTTTTTCTTCTTCGTATCTTATACTTATTAGAATTTCGTTTTTCTTCTTCTTTTTTTTTGCATTCACTTTTTATTTTTTATTTTTTTACTAGTTACGGTGCACATGCGTTGCATGTACCTTGCACACAAATTAATTTTGCGCATGTAAAATGAAACTAAACTTATTTTAAATATGACATTTGGAATAAAAATATTGAAGATTTGAACTACTACTATTGTATGACATATTTGGTGTAGTGTTTGTCCTTTAAGCTTTGGTAATGAAATTCGAACTTGTCGTTGTTATGTTCTATAAATGTGTAGTGTTTGGTAATATATCCATCTTTAACCTAAGAGACTCCTGTGATTTTGTGCTAGACTCGTAACTTGAAGAGGTCTTGTGATTCTGAGACAATAGTGTTTGTGGTTCCACTTGAACACATTAACATTTAGGCCTTGGACACTTTTCTATTAACGCAAGCCATTTCTCTCTGGATGGATGAGTTATTTATAATAAAGATGTGTTGTATTTGTAATTATATTATAGCTTTTGGAAACTTTCCCTTTTTGTGAATCTTAGTTAGGTTTGGATTTGATTTTCTTAGAGAATAATCAATCGTTTGATGTTTTATTTACCAATATTTATACATGTATATATACACAACACGAAGTAACTGTATTTTAATTTTTAAAAAGAAACAATAAGGAAATTAGCATCCGACATGCACATAAAAATGCAAGAACTATATAACTAAATACTATAATATCATATTTTAAAACAGTGTTTCTCTTTATTGATAGGCTTTGGTAATGGATCATCCTGGTAACATGCTTTGTTTGCTGTTTTCACCTAAATCTTCTTCCTTGTATACTTCTTGTGCTATCACCTTAGCTGCCATTTGGTCTTTATCACTGTTTTTGTTGATCTTTATAAAAAAAATATGTATAGCTCACCATAAAATTTATCAAATATTTATAGAATTTGTTGTTTTCACCTTCCTGGAATATGAGAAACTGCACAAAAATTACATTAATTGAATTTTGGAACTTCCAAATCTTATTGTGTTATTGATCATAATGAGATGCACACATATTTTTCAGGACTTCGATGTATTTGTATATGGAACATCCAAATGGAAAAAATTGTGAGAATATGTGTTCTCCTAATCCTAGGAATAAGTGTCCTATATCTATTAGACTTCTATATATCTCACAAAAATATCATGAAACACTTCATGAAAATTTTCCGTTCTTGGATTATACACACAATAAAATACCACACACTAATTAAATGATGAAAAATCTTCATAAAGTATTTCATGATATTTCTTTTATGATACCTAACATTACTCTAGATAGTATAAACTAATGAAAGCTTGTATTTAATTTTAATAGTAGTAAAAGACGACATGCCTTCACTATTTGTATGCCCTAGTGTGTTGAGAGTGGCCCATTTCATTCTCCTTTAATGAGAGACATTTTGTATATATTGTTTTTTTTCTTTTGCAATCATTCTAGCATAGCGATTCATTTTATACTTTCAATATTGAGAATTTTTTCAGCTGTAAATAGTTTCAACAGAGAATTAAGTTTATATAATGTCATAAGAATACTAGTTTTCTTATAAACAAGTTGCTACTCATAGAAAAAATCCTAACCTTCTTCTTTACCCATTTTTTAAACTCTTGTTCAAACAGATTTTTTAATCGGTTGATTTCAAGTGTGACCTGCATAAAAAAAAAAAAAAAAAAAAAAAAAAAATCCACAACAAAAATTAAGAAGATGTTAACAAAATATGGAAAGGTTCTTTAACCCTGAGAATATTAATACAACTTCCAATACTTTATTCTGGTTTGACAAAGTATTGGATCACGCATAAAGAAATTATACTGAGCAAGGTTGTTTTTTGTTTTAATTTTTTTTTTTGAAAGGTATTGATAAGAACAAGTTAGCAGTGCTAAAAAAAAACAGAAAAAAAGATAAAGGAACAAGTTTGGAAGAAGTTCCAAAAAGATTTACAATCAACGAAAATGTTCCATCAAATTTATTCAAAAAAGTCAAGTGTGGTATAGATTTAACTTAGTATTGAGGTTCTGAGAGGTTTCTTCGTATGTATCATAGACAAAAAATGATTCATTAAGTTTCAATTCCTCTCATCATTGATTAAATTAATGAGAATGTTCTCATTTGTTAAAATTCATTAAGTTCCAATCTCTTTTATCATTGATTAAATGTATTGAGAAAGTTCAGGCATGGGGATATATAATCCAGAATGGTATTTTAGACCCATTGCTTGCAATACATTTTGTTTTCTTTGTAGTTTTAACAAATTAACTAAAGGAGCAATTAAAAAATTCTATCTTTGTTTAAGAAATTGTCCGGTTTAATACAATTATATTAACTCATATAATCCATGGTTGTGGTGCAGTTTTGGATGAGTTGAATATTAATAATCAGAAAATAGAAGAGTTAGAAAGCATCATTAATCGGCCATTTTGTTGTGATGTTAACACGTCTCGTGGTTGCTACTAATATTCAAACTACTGAACAGATACAAGACTCTTTTTATGGCACCAAGTCGAACTAGTTTCGTTTGTCTGACCCTCGGTTTTGACGGTGCCATCGGCATTTAGACCTCTAGTCAACCATCTTCCACAAACCAAAATCTCTGAAATATCTCATTATTTGTATCACTCAAGTTATATATCGCTGGAAAGAAACATATTTGAATTTTAGATTGGAATAGACACTTTCACAAACATATAGAAGTAATGGTTAATTGTTAATTTTTTTTTTTTCTCTCCGTAGACTACAAATGCGACCCCAAATTTAGATGGCGAGGCAATGTAGGTGTTGCTTGGAACTTGCAGGTAGAGTCGTTTACTTGGTTTGGGGAAGAGATGACAGTGAGCAATGTTTTCTTTTCTTCTTGGCTGCTTTTTGCGGCAATGTTTTCTTTTCTTTGTGATTGCTTTCCATTTGTAGTTTCAAGACAGAAGCACTTACAAACGGATGCCATGTAGGTGGTGTTTGTTTGGAAGGAAAAGTATGGGACATGATTAATAGTCTAAATAACATTGAAATTTTTTCCACCGGATTAATATTTCAATCGTACTATAAATTCCAAATTTATGGGATGGTTCTATCTCACGGGGATGGGATACAATTCATAAGACATCTCATGAAATTAGGTAATGAAATTACATTTTTAACCCTTTTTTAGTTAATATCTTTTTTAAAATAAAATTTATTTATTAAATTATTTATACTCAATAAATATATTTATTAAATTATTTATACTTAATAAATTATTTATACTTAATAAAATTTATTTATTAAATTATTTATACTCAATAAATATATTTATTAAATTATTTATACTTAATAAATTATTTATACTTAATAAAATTTATTTATTAAATTATTTATACTCAATAAATATATTTATTAAATTATTTATACTTAATAAATTATTTATACTTAATAAAATTTATTTATTAAATTATTTATACTTTATTAAATTATTTATTTTAATAATATGGTATTAATTATACTTGATAAAGTAAAATAAAATTTA